CAACAACAACAACAACAACGACAACAACGACAACAACAACAAACAACGACAACTGACAGCCAAATACAGAAAAGTAATTTTTATTTTCGAAATTTTTTGAAATTTTGCTAAATTTAAAATTTGAAGATTTAGAGTTGCAAAAATGAAGTATAAAATGAATTATTCTTATTAAGAATTGAAATTTTAACATGATTGGAAGACATGGAGACATATTATCCATAACGTTGCTGATTCCTCTGAGAACATACGCAGAAAATCAGTACCGACGAGGAAGAAGAGCGCAAAAGGAATCGTGCTTTGCCAATACCGCCTAAGGGAAATTTTTTACTACTGTACCTTTTGCAATTAGGCTTGCTTATCCGCATTAACCTTTTTAGTCATCGGCGTGTTTGCAGCAAACATAATGGAAGTTCTTTGCATATCTTTGTTCGTCAAGTTTAGCTACGACGATGACGATCAAGAAATAAAATTTTAACATGCTTTTCAATTCGTTCATTACATGTTCCAATGTCATCTGTCATCCTGGTCGTCATTATTATCATTGTCATCACTTTAATCATCATTATCATGATTCTTTTTCTTTTACTGATAAAACATTTCTTTTACTGGATAAGCTGTTATTTGTTATATCCACTCTTATGATTAGAATTGATCTCTCAAAAAACTTCTCCGGTAGTAGTCTCTTTGAAAATTTCCTCAGAAAAAAGATAATTAATTAGTTTTACCTGTTATTTCAAATATTTAACACATATATATATATATACATATATTCTAATGTGGAATAAGAAATGATCTAATTTAGTGAAAGATGTCCAATGGGCAGTGCAAGTTAACCGGAACACTTTAACGGTTAATAATGAACTAACCGGAACACTTTGACAGTTAATAATGAGCTAACCGGAACATGTTGGAAGATTGGTATCGCATGCTTCCTTTTAGATATCTATTAAGTGAGCTGTCAGAAAATTTGATTATCTTTCCATATCATCATTGTCGAACACATATTTGCAGCTACAAATGAATTGGACGTGCTTGTGGATAGAGATAATTTACGGAAGTCATCATTCATTGGTTCATGGTTTTCAACCGAATTTCCGGTTCACGCGGAATATACTCGACAACGACGATTTGATAAACCGATTCGCATTGAATTATATCTTGCCAGAGGTATATAAGTTTTGAAATTTCCATAAAAGATCGAATGATATCACAGAAGTGACGGATGATTAAACTGGATGATACTCATTTAACCAAAAAAAAGTTATATTAGCTAATCTGAAAAAAACTATATAACCTGAAATTCGTTATCGAATATATAGCTTGAAATTCGTTATCGCATATATAACCTGAAATTCGTTATCACAGCTGTGCTACGGGATGAATGTTCGCAAGATTCGCATTGTGGTCATCGGATGATTTGTTGCCAGAAACGATGGTATGACTTAAGTGATGATTCTGGTACCGGATATTTCTGTTTGCCGAATTGCGAATTGACCAAGAAGATAAGTTTAGGAATACATGATGCCAATGGATTGATACCAGACGATATAATTTATGATTGATATATCGATGAGTACCGATCGATGGTTATACCACTGATAAACACTGCTTTTATCAGTTGAAAGAATCAATCATAAAAATAACTTAGTAGAATAACTTATTAACTACAACAGAGTAACTTATTCTAACCTAAATTTAATCAATCTAATATATAATCAATAACGTAATAAGGTGTATAAAATGGATGATCGATTCAGACTTACTTTCAATCCTTTGAACTGACAGATTCAAAGGTCAAATTAAATTTGGATTTTTGATTTACACGTAAACAAATATAAGGGCGATTACATGTGTACTAAATAATTTATGCAAAACTAATCAAATATAACTGGAACAATTCAAATATTTAGGATAAATTATCTGTCACATATAAGGCTGTCAAAATTTTGAAACAAAAATCGAAGCTATCATTTTACCAAACAGTTTTGAAATTTTCTGATAACCAAAGTTACAACTTGATTCTCATAAAGTGATGTAATTTTCATTCTCAATGATTGCATGTTTTCTTTTAGATATCTATTTAACGATATTGAATCCGGTATTCATTTCCGGTATTCATTTCCTTCATCCAAAACATTGTTTGAATTCCATTCCGGTTTAGGATTTTTTTTTCAAAAATTTACTCTGTTCTTGGAAAAATAAAACAACAAACATTTTATTTCATACAAAAAAAAAAAAAAAAATAACAAATTTACTGAAACAGCAATAATAGCTCACTCCTTCAACATAATAAAAGACAGTAACACAAATAAAAAAATAAGAAGAGAATCGAATTTTGTCATCTTAGTAAATTATAATTAATGAGTTCAAAAAATCCTTTTAAAATAAATCAAAATATATAATTTGTAATAATAGAGAGGAACGGAGAGAAAGAGAGAGAGAGAGAGAGAGAGAAAGAGAGAGGGAGAGAGACCGGTACTTTTCAATACAGCAGCAGCATTCTTCGTACAACAGTTATATATTTTTTCTTTTAAACTTCAAACTTTCTCTTCCTTGAAAAAAAACTTGATAAAATTTTATTGAAAGGGTGATAAAGGACAGCGGAAATGACAGTCGCAAAAGTAAAATTGGCAGAATATTTTCATACCATAAAATTTCTTTTTTTTTTTTAATAAAGATTTGAAGTTCACTATTTTGAAACAACAATCTTTTCATAGAAAATTCCGATAAGTTAACTTTGAAATTACACAAATTCAACAAGCATTTCCTACACCGCAATAGTTGAATGCATAAAAGAAAAACAGAAAACTCGGGAAGTTATGACCTGTTTATCGGACAGCACCGGAAAAGTTAAACATAGTAACAAAATTTTACCTATTTTGATGCTTGATGAAATGATGATCAAATATGAGTTTAGAAGGTTAGGAGGAAAGCGGGATGGGAAAAGGAAAGTGAAATTTCAATTAAAACTTCAAATTTCAAAGTTTCAATTTTGGATCAGAAATTTGTCAATATTATCAAAATTAACATAATCAAAAGGCACATAGCTCAAAGTAGTAAAAATCAAGAAAATTGATATGCAGCTTTTTTGATTTTTTATTCAATTTTCTAATCTTTCAACAAATTAATTAATGAAGAAAGTGACTTCATGCAGATCAAATTAACAGATACGATATATGCGCCTATACCGGAAAAAAAAAAAAAAAGCCATAACCATATCTTCCTAGGATAAAATAGAAAGAGAGAGAGAGAGAGAGAAAGAGAGAAAGAGAAGGAGGGAGAGAGAGAGATAATAGTAACATAGAGAATAAAACGAAAACCTCGCACAACAGTGAACCTGTATTGAAATTTACAGTTCAAAATAATTTGAATTTAAAAAAAAATAGAAAAATATTAAAAAAATTAAAGAACAAAAAGAGAAAAAAAAACACCATAACAACGAGGTATATACAAACAAAAAAGAAAAAAAAAGACTTACACAATTAAGGAGGAAGAAAAGATTACATCAAGAAAATTATTCCTAGTAGGAAAAAAAAAAGAAAGAAGACCGAGAAAAATCAACAATTTCGAGAAAAGTTGATTATTTACTTATGAAAAATTAGCAATCTTTTAGGACAATTATTCATTCAGGAAAAAAAAATTCAATTTCGTTTTTTTTTTTTTTGTTATCATACAAGAAAAATTGAACTATCACCGATATTTCACATTTTGAGAATGAAATACACAGAACCGGAAACGTATGGGAAAATATGGTTGATGGAAGAGAACTGGTTTTTTGAAAAAAAAAAAAAAAAAAAAAAAAAAAAAACATCATTTCTTCTAATTGAACTAAAATTCGGGCTAATATTAGATTATACATTTCTCGGTATGATATTTAAGAAAATGAAAAAAAAAAAAAAAAGGAAAAAGAAAAGAAACATCAAAAATCATTAATTAGAATTTATAATAATA